TTAATTAGAATTCGTAAAAGAACGAAGACCCTAATCCTAGTTCGTGAAAGAATGCACGTTCGTTTAATTTTTAATTATATCGCCATACGCGTTAATCGCGTAATTTACCTGCATCTGACATAAGCGCCAATTCTACGAATTAGTAAATCACCTAGGGCCATTTACCTGTGGATAATTTAATTCAGTTTCAATTAACTCAGATGTCATTGTTTTAAATGTAAAAAATACATGAAAGAGATTTATAGTGAAGCTTACTCGACCTTTCAGGTTTAATGAAATTGTGTTTGGATAATCACGTTGTGTCACATATTTTAACTAAAAACAAGCAGGCTTACTATCACCAACTCCCTTAATATCCAAATGTTTTCAAAATGATGAGAAGCATTTAACGTATTAAATACGCATTAATTTGTTACTTTTGACGTATTCCATACCAACCCTTTTTTAACTCGCATGCAGTAAATATCACTCATCAAATTTAAAACATTTTAGCGTTTATGTGTTCATATATTTAACGTTTCTGACCCTACTGGACGTATATCGTATAGTTAATGAACACTCCTTAACAGTTAAGTGCTTGTGTGTGTGTGTACTTGATGTAATGGATAAGAAACACCATTTATTTTCTGTGTTTGATATCTTAATTATTAGAGTATATATTTCAAAATGGAGAGGTATGCCCTTAATACTACTAATAGTTGAAGGTAACCGCCAACTAACCAGAATTGAAGCTCCATAATTCCATGATCCAAGTATTGAACAACAAATTGGAAAATTTTCTTTCATTTTTGCACTACATGACGTACAGTCTCTTGTAAAAGTAATGTCCCTCGGATACCTACCACTGTAGCATAGGCAACCAACATCCCAACCGACTAGTCCAAGTTGGATTTGCGGGTGTGGGAGGTAGGTAGGTATCTAATGCGGTTCGTTTTCAGCAGGTATTCCCACTTTGCCAAACTAAAAATAAGTTAGTAGAATGAAAATGAATGGCATCGATTTATTAGCTCAAAAGATCTGCGCTGCTTTAACCTATCTTTGGTTTAATACAATAGAAATTTTTACATTTCAATTGGTTTGGTTCGTTTTAAATTTGGAAATAGTTTAGCTAAAATAATGACATTTACTTTTAATTTTTTCGAGTAGATTTTCTTCTAACAAAATAAATGTGATGATTTTGTCGTTTTATACTGACATTGAAATTGAAGTCTCATTATTAATTACTCGGGCCTCCTAATGGAATGCGATTATCTGCACTGGAAGCGCAACAATGCCGTTCCTTTTGTAACTACCACCTCCCATTCCTTTCAAACCCCGGGATGGCACCCGCGGAAAAATTCGGCTGTTTTAATTATTTTTCCCTAATTTCTAATCATTTCACCTGCATGAAAAAGCCGGTTTAACTGGTAACTAATTTTTTTGTCAAAAAATATTATACCTATAACCTGGACTAAATATCCTTATAAATGCCTACCTACTCAGAAATATGCAACGTAAAAGCTCTCCTAAACTAAATTCGATATTAAATCAACCACGACCAAGTATCACAAATGCATATCATTTAATTTCTGATGCTAGTTACAAAAGAAAGGTATTGTTGCACAGTGCACTTGTAGGGCAATTAATCGCATTCCATGAGGAGACCTACTCGCAACTCGCAAGTAATTATTAATGACACTGGAATTTCAATGTCATTAAAGGACAAGAATATCACCTTTATTTCGTTAGAAGAAAACCTACTCAAAAAATTAAAAAGTGAAAGGCCATTATTTTGTCTTAATAGTCTCTAGCTAAACTATTTGCAAATTTAAAACGCACCAAACCAATTGTAAGAAATGTAAAAATGTTTACTGCACCAAGCCAAGGATGTGCAGCGCAGATCCTTTGAGCTAATAAATCGATGGCATTCACTTTTATTCTACTAACTAGTATTTAGTTTGGCTAAATGGGAATATCTGCTGAAAATGAATCGCATTACTATAGATAGCTACCTCGCACACCCGCAAATCCAACTTGGACTAGGCGACTGGGATGTTGGTTGCCTATGCTACAGTGGTAGGTACCTATCCGAGGGACATTACTTTTACAAGAGACTGTACATGTATACTTCATCAAGGAAAGACTAGAAAAACAACAACAAATGGTAAACGATGACGCAATAAAACGATAATCGTTTATAACTACTAGAAATGTTGGGACATTATCGATCTGCTTAAACCGCGTGTTTGATACAGAATTAAATTATAGTCTATACATGCACGGACCGAATACAGAATCCTAGTAGGCGTGACTACGTGGATTTTTCAATTATCTAGTTTTTCTTGAAAATGTTGCGACGATGGCTTGATGAATATAAACCTGCCAGGAAAGATTGCCGGTCACAGAACACTTGATCCCGATCTACGATCTATGTTTTTCTAAAGATGTAAGCGACTTCCGGGATAGTATCGTGTCAATGTTGAGAAAACGGCTTTTCGTTCAACATTAGCACGATCCTATTCTGGAAGTCGCTCGCATCTTAAGAAAAACATAGAGTGTAGATCGCACAAGGTGTCCTGTGGCCGGCAATCTTTCCTGGCGAGAGTTATATCTCGCTGTTTGCGTTTAGTTTTTCGGAATCCATTGTGGTGGCCGATGACGCCCTCTGCTACAGCAGTTTGCGTAGATGTACCAGTTGAAGAATGCTTCGCATTAGAGATTGGTTGCGATTTCACTCTGTGAAAGTCCGAAACCTTTCATTCGCGATTTGCGATTACGATTGATCGGTCTTCCAGCCGGTGCCGTTGGAGGATTAATACGTTCGTCGTCTGTTCCGTCACTCCAGGTTTGATTTTTTAGTACCTCACCACTCTATGGTCACCAGATTCTTACGTACTCTCACAGCTATGCACTGTGATACTGTGAATTAGGTATATCGCTTCGGAATAAGTATCGGACTCTAGAAAGATTGGAGCTGCCGACCTGACATGTTTTCATTTGCCTTTTAGTTTCATGAAGGTTAAATAAACATGATTTATTTATTTATTTATTTATTTATGTATTTGCTCAAAACAACAGAAAAACATTCCATATAAAGTTTTGAGGACAATGATTGTGACTAAAAAAAAACGTATACAAGTAACTATCTGATAAATAGTATTTTTATAAACATAAAACTAAATTTTTCTTAAATTGCGATAAAGACAGGCCAAACAAGTGCAAATTGTTCTTTTGAACTTTGTGCAAATCATTGTACAACGTCATCATTCGGTTAATTGGTGAATTGTCATGCGTTTTTGAACGTACTCTAGGGATTTCAAACATTGTGAATTTACTTCTCGTTCTATGATCGGGGACATTGATATTGATTAGAGACAGCAAATAGGAACAGTTTATCTGATTATTAAGAAGCTTAAACAAAAATATTAATGAGATATTACGTCTTCGATCACTTAGTCTCGTAAAATTATACACATTTATTAAATATTCATAATGTTCGTAGTGGGGGTATACCCTCGTAAGTCTAAAGTGAAGAGAGCGTAAGAATTTACTTTGAATCATTTCGATTGCCTTTATATGCTTTTTCGTATATGGTGACCAAATGGTAGCTGCATATTCCAGCTTAGATCGCACTAATGCATAATATAACACTAAACGTTTTTTGATTTCTAAAACAATGCGAACATCGCAAGATAAATCCCAAGCTAGAGTACGCGGCTTTAATGACATTCTGGATATGTAGGTCGAATTTCAATTTGGCATAAAAAAGCACTCCCAGATCTTTGTGATTGCTAACAACCTCTAATACTCTTCCCTGAATGTTGTACTGAAATATAATATCATCTGCCTTACGAGAAAAACGTAGGCATTTACATTTATCTATGTTCAGGGGTAAGTAATTATTAGAACCCCATTGTACTATGGAATCGAGATCAGTTTGTAGCTTTTGACAATCCGAGTAGTCTTTTATTTGGTAGCTCAGCTTCAAATCATCTGCAAACATTAAAACATTTGCATACTTAATTACTTCGGTCAAGTCATTAATTAACATTATAAATAACAATGGTCCCAAGTTTGACCCTTGTGGCACCCCCGATGGTACACTGAACACCTTAGACGTAGCCGATCCAAAAACCACAAACTGCTCTCGAGAAGAAAGATAAGACGAAAAGAATTTTAATAGACCATTCGAGAAAACCAAACCGAGCTAACTTTTCGAGCAAAATGTCATGGTTCACACTATCAAAGGCTTTAGAAAAGTCAGTGTATAATTTATCGTATTGAGTTTTGTCATCTAAGGTCATGTGCTACGTCATTAGAAAGCTTATTTTTTTCTCTTTCTTAATACTTTAACATGTATGATGTTTTTAAATTCGAAAATAAGGTACAGAAAAAATAGAGAAACCTTGCCATATGCTTAGTTGACTAATGTATTGAACTTTAAACGTAGATACCTTTAAATTAACAGAACGTCAAGAATTAACAAAAAACAATGAACAGGTGTTTAATAAGTGACACAGACACAGTACATATGGTGTATTTCTTTACAAATATGGTATTACGTGAGAAATAAATCTTAATTTTGTGAAATATGGACCATTTTCTAATTTAACACCATTCATGATTAAGGTAGTAAGAAAGAGAGAAAAATAAGCTTTATAATGACGTCTCATAATATGACCTGTTGCTATTTAAACAAATTCAAGATGGCGGTCGTACTCAAAAAACAGTTTAATAGTCGTGAAAATGATGCATTCTATATAATCAATTTAACGGACACACGTGTGAATTTTGCACAAATTACGTAATTGGTGGCACCATAATGTTTGAAATTACAATAGCGTAAATTTTAAATCAATGTTCTGAAATAGAGTAGAGAACTTCATAGAGGTTTGTTTACCGCAAATGCAACTACTAGTCCTATGTGGAAATCCTCTACACGGAGTCTTGTTATTTAGAAATGTTTTATAATACAATTTAATGACGCATTGCAACCACAGCACCCACTAAATATGCTATGAATGGATGTTTATTGCTTACAGCGTGATTTACCAAATTTGAAGGTAGCTAATGGTATAAAAGAGAAATTGAAGCATTTTGCAGGTGTTTGGATACTCTCAAAATTGAAAAGGAAATTACCTACTGCAATTACAGCAGGACTGAATATGAACTGAGTTCTGCAAGTATTAGAGTCTATACGGTTGTTCCATCAGATTATGTTTTTTCCTTTAATTTTTTTATCTTACGTTTACAATTTTTTCTGTACACCAAGTTGTTCCAATACTTAGATTTCAAACGTCGTATTAGTATTTTGGAAGCAAGAAAGCTGTAACGCGCTTTAACATTTTTACGTAGACAGATTGAGTAGTAGGTATTGTTTAATGTTCCTTCAAAGTATCAAAATCGGCATTCTCGAACATAAAATGTTATGATCTCCAAAAATGTTTTATCACGTTTGCGATAAACTTAAAATGAGGTGTGAATTCGTGATTTTCGGAACAAACAATCAATACATCAGGTTCCATTGTTTAGTTTTCCCACTCCGGATCCTAGCTTTTTTTGTATAGGTTTTGTCTGTACGCGTTACCAGGAAATGGGTGCATTAAATCTTTTTTCTGGTATACGCAAAAAAATATGTAACCTTCAATCATATTCGCTCGGTTAAATTTATTCGGTGTTACAGCGTGGAAAAGATATATTTGTTTAAACGCCTACTTTTCAATATTCAACATTTAAGTGCATTTTTATTTTCAGATAACCCCAAATTCACCGGTCCGATAGTAAATGTAACGATTCCCGTAGGAAGGGAAGCAATAATAGAATGTGGGGTAGATAACCTATCTACATTTAAGGTGAGTTCGTTTTTTTCGTTTCATTATTTTTAACTGCGCCTATAGAATGCTTCAAGGGGAAAAATGGTTTCTATAAGGTTATAATTAAAAAACATAATGAAAGTTCCAAATACTTAGTGGCCTGGATTTTAAACTGACAGTAAGTCGTATTAGAAGGTAGAAAAACATTTTCCTAAATTAAACTTATTTACCTGCAAAACGTATTCTTATTGCCCAAAGCGCTGCACGGCCCGCTCTGCTGAAACTTTTAGCGCTCCCGTTCGGATTCATTAAAAGAATTCCAGAGAGGAACGCCTAGCACAGCCGTTCCTAGAGACTAATTTCTCCTTAAAATCCATGAGGTTAATAGGCAAAAGCTGCCATAAACTTTTTTTTAGTGAAATTAATGTGATGCTTATTAACCTTTCGCTGAGAGTAATTGTTACAACCCAGAAGCGCAATTCTTTATCTCACGAATTCACAATAAATGTTTTACCGGAATTAAATTAAATTAGTTACGCAGTCCTTTACAGAATATGTCATTATATTTCCTTTTCGAATTAACCATTAACCTTCCTCTCCGAGATTGTTTTCCTATCGAAGGGGAAAGTTTATGGGGGCAAACAAATACCGCATCAAACAGTTTCGTCGGGGAACGACATACTACCTACTTTATATCATTTATATGCCCCCATATACCAACGAAACATCGTCTTACCTTCGTCTGTTTTAGTAATAAGAGTTGGTGGAAAGGTATAGGGTTTAAATCTGATAATTTGTTTTCAAACTTTCTAATTACTGCAAAATACTACATTATACATTGAAGAATCTCAACATCGGTTTCACAAGATGAAAATTGTCTTATAAAGGGACCGGTTTTCAATTTCTTCTAATTTACAATTTACTTTTTGTTACTAGAAATCTACAACGTTCGTATAATAACGCCGCATGTATAACAAGTATAAATTGTGCACAACTATTGTGCAGATTTTTTTTAACCGAAATAGCTTTTGTTTTGACATCACCAATGGATATATTTCTTGTAGACGTCTCATCGCTCTTTGTGAGTACCCTCTTCCGACAATCCGTTCTTGAGGTATAAGGGAATATACCTGATCACGATAAGAGGTCGAGGGAGAGGGCTATGGTTGGTAGAAATTAATTCCTTTCGTTATTTTCGTTCATTAGAGGGAAGGATAAAACTAGTCCCACACACAGTGCTTCTTATATTATTTTTTTCTATTTTGCATTAAAATAAGGGAATCCATGAATTTTAATACGAAGTATCAACATGGATTAGAGATTGAAAAATTGTCAATTTTGTTATTCTGACGTTTAGGTTGGTAGAACTGGTAATTTGACATTCTTGATTCAAAATTTGAAGTTCGGAAATAATGGCCCAAGAATTGAGTTATAGCCCACCAGAATTGCGTGAAATAGCCTAAATTACAACTAAAAATTTATTACCTAACAAATCAAACAAGTTTAACAAGTCTAATTTCATAAATAAAACATACAGCATGCGTAAACAGTAATTTTGAAACCGGTATTAGTTTTAGTTTCATTTGTTAGGTTTGTCTTTAATCCAAATGCCTATGTATAAAATTGCATTTAAATGCCTTCATTGGCATTGCGCATGCGCAAAACAACATTTTGAAACCGTCGTTAATTTTACTTAAATTCGTAGTGTTTACGTATAAAGTTTCATTTAAATATCTTCATAAATAAAAAAATCGGTTCAGTGGTGTAGAAGGAGTACGTATGACGGACGGACGGACGGATGGACGACAAAGTGTAACCAATAGCGATTTTTCACTTTGAAGAAAATACGCTAAAAATAAAAATACCTAGCATAAATGCCAAACGTGGACCACAATAATGTTAGTGCCTATTCCTTTCGGCAAGTGTGATAAGCATCCCCTAATTACCACTCCAATTAACAATAATCATTACCAATTTACAATTTACTTCATTTATGTACTTGTAATATGCTTTAGAAGTTTAATAGGTGCTTAATTTGTAACGTTCCGTTGTTGCGTTGAATGTGCCATTAGTTTGAGTGACTGCCTGAATGCGCTTTTACTGCGTTAGGAGGACAACTTGGTACAAATGGGAACGGGGAAGATCATTTTTGCTTTTGTCGTTGAAATGAGAAGCACTTACTCTGCGGAAGATGTCTTGGAAGATGAGGAAATCTGAAATGGAAAATCTAAAGCCATTAAGTTAAATTTCCTATATTATTTATCTAAACTTAGTACTTGCGTGAATGGGAATTTGTTGATGCCTTTCCGAGGTACTTAAACTTTATTTTCATCGGATTCCATATTTGGTTAACCACGTTTTTTCGGTATACCTATGTCGCCATCCGAAACCCATTTATTAAAGAGGTTCGTAAGTTTGAATTAATCTGAATTGGTATTGTAATTTTATTGGATGCACCTTTTTATGTAAGTAACGATCATTAGGGTGGTCGTATTACAGAAGTACAACTGTTCTGGGCGAAATGCCCACACTTGTTTTCGAATCGAAGGTAAAGTCACCTTATTTAGATCTGTATTAGGAATAATAATAATAATAACATTTATTGTCCAAACAAGTAATAAATACTCTATAACAGGACAATATCTAAAAAAGAAATATTAAAGTTATAGCGAGCCGTTAACCATTCATTAAACAAAACAAGAAAAAAACAAACAAACAAAATCTAAAAATTTAACTCAGATACAACCAAATTTCATTCTACGAATTATAACAGTTCGTTTAAAGTAATATTAAATATATATAATGGAAGTTGGCCTTTTTTAAGCTGGCGCACGAAAAAAAAATTCTCAATCCCATCGACTCTTTGCCTGAGCTGAATTAAAAAAAAAACTTAAAATTTTTTCGACATGTGTAATATTTTTTACGTTTCGTCAACCTTATCTGAAATATACTAATTAAACAAATTACCTTGGAAATGATTTGAGAGTAACCATGATAAATTATGAAAATCATAAAATAAAATGCTTAAGTGTTTCTGTTTTCTATATTACCTATTTAAAAGAAATATAATTTAAAAAAATCGTTAAGCCACTTGTGAGTAAAAGGCGAAGAGTGCACTTTCAAATTTGTTTTTTGATTTTAATAGCCTTTATGGATATTTCATACTTTAACGAGAATACAAGCATGAAATAATTTTTAATTTCTGATCGAATGACACCAATACCAAGTTTCTAAGTGGTGTAGTTTCGGAACCTTTGTGATTCAGGCTGACAGACAGACGTCAAGAGCGTAGAAGTGCACTTTTTATTTTTTGAAAGTGAAAGTGCACTAAAAATATTCATTGTACGTCCAGAAATGCTTCTTCCGTGCTTGCTTCCCGCGTTCAGCTATGCCTCGCGCGCGGAAATGTCTCTTTTCTAGCCCCCTAATAAAATATACTATTATTGCATCAAATAATAAAACGAACAAGTTTTTTTGTAAGATTTTTAAGAGCCATATAAAATTAACACTTCATAATGTAGCTGATGCAATTCCTTTGCTGTTAGATTGTACGGATGTACGGATGTTATGACTTTTTGGTTCTTTTTTCGAGACCAAATCAATTAACGACAGTTTGACGTTTCACCTCGCGTTTCACTGATTAATAACGATTAATAGGTTCTTTGGTCTCCCTGAATTTGCTTCAAGCAAACAGGGTAGCTGTTTCGCGTTCGTTGGTTGCATTCAACCAAGATACTCTAATGCGAACATGAAATAACTACTCACACGCTGAAGTAAACTGCTCATTTCCAAAGAAGGTTGTTTACTTCAAATTCGAAACTATCTTGAATGCAATATTTTTTGCTGTTTTTAGGGGTGTTTATTTGTATAGGGAAGGTGAGAATGTGGAAAGTTGGAAGTTCATAAAATTGATATAACATTTTAGACGACATGTTAATACATTTTGGATGTGCTATGTGGTATAGTATGGTCGTTGATTTTTCAATTACTCTGCTTGATAGTAACATCCGACATTCTCTGATACAAAGTGCAATGCGAGGTGCAATGCTTCAAAGTTTCCATTTCCAACGTTCAGTAAATCCACAAAACGCCCTAACACCCTAACGGAAAAACCACTGAAAATGACACGGGTGATATTTTCGGTGTGGATAACGATCAAACAGATAGAAATCTCCTCATTCGGCACGTTATGTCGCAATTTTCATAATGTTCAAACACTTTGTTTTTATTGATGCTTAATCTCATTACAAAACCTCTCACTACGTTCACAAACAATAATTACCCGTTTAAATAGAGATTAAATCTATTCAAGAAATAATATACATATCCCCGTTCAAACATATAATTAAATTTTATCCAAACTTTGATAATTTCAAATGAAAGATTTATAATTCATAAAATACGACCCGAAATTTCTAGGCACGCTAAACTTCACTTTAGTAATGAATATATACATACATATTCACCCACTTCATTAAGGCTAAGCAGCTATTAATTTCGTAATCAAACATACAAAAGGCTGTCTGAAAGAGCTAATTACTTTAGGCACAGAATGTTAGACACAAGGATGCCCATTTGGTGTTTACATTACGTATAAATGTTTCTAACATCAAACGGCATTAAAGTTTGTTAATACATCTGCTTAAAATTTATAAAGCAAATAAGTTCGCATGAATAACGGGCAGTTATTCGGTGAATTTAAATTTCAAACTAAAAGACAATTTCGGTATTAGTAAATTCCTCATTACCAAAGGGACTGAATATAACTTATGGCATTAAAAAGTTTTTGCGTGAAATTCGCTTTTAAGACGTATACGTATTATTATGCCTGTGACGTGCATAATTCCATGGCTTAAGACGGTTTTTTTCTTTCTAGTAATACTATCTACTAACAACCATTGAATGTGTCCAAAATAGAACATTGAGCATAGCTGACAAATAAGGTAATTATTTTTACATGCGACGATCGATTTGTGTCAATCTTAGTATTTGTTTGTCCTTATAGTGTAAGCAAGTTAGTTCGAAAAACAAGGAATAGAAGAAAAAAATTATAAAGTTTTGAAATTTTGGTTATGAACTCCTAGCAGGGACCCAAATACATATCCGAAGAGTTCCCACCTCTCCGGTGGGAGCTTCATCCCCTTTTGCCCAAAAAACCACCCCCAATCGTGACCTCGCGGTCTATTTCGGCGTTTTGCTCGTGAACCGCGACTTCTACGAAATAATGTTGTAGGACTTTTTATATTCTCCATGGAATTCTCTATAAATATGTATCTTACTGTTTTTTGCGTATCTCCCACCCAACGCTCGTAAATGACCTTGGAAAATAAGCATAGCTCTCAGCGCGAAGAGAAAAATGCGCCCAGCGACGTTACTCACGGCGATAATCTCGAAAAGTGCTAGTATTATGAGCAAAAATATATAGAATCGACATTAAAGAGCAGTTTTTTCTCTACAATATGCACATATTATAATAGGATTATGTTTTTATAACTATGCATTTTCTATTTCTGAATCTTAAGTAAATGTACTTGAAATATATGCGGCAGTTACCATCATAACCTCAATAGGGCAAATAATAGTGAATATTTCATTTCAGAAAATAACCTTGTCACATCAACAAACATCTGCTGCATTAGCACAACATTCATATAGGGTTTTTCATCAAATTCATACGTGGCGAGGAAAAACTTTAACTGCAACTGAATGGGGCTGGAGAAAAAGTAAAAACATTCTAATGCCAGTGGTTATGACTGAAGCGCCAGCTCCAACTTCAATTCTTCAGCTTATATCCTGCGGCTGGAAAAAGGGGTGTGGAAAGCGATGTAGCTGTGTCAAAGTTGGTTTGCGCTGTTCCACAATGTGCTCTAGTTGTCATGGGCAAAGTTGTTTCAATTCGATCGAGGACGTCGACTTTGCAGAGGAAAATTGATGAATGACATATTTTATCAGTGGAATAGGCCTATAGGGGAAACCACGTAAAAAAAACGCGCCGAGAGCACCTCAAAGGTGGTGTGGAAACGGACTCAAAGTACAAATTCACAAATATAAGAAAGTATTCATATGAACACTAACACTTGTTCATAAATATATTAGTGTATATGCACTTTGTAGAGAAAAACTGCTCTTTAGTCTCGATTCTTTACATTTTTTTGCACAGACTAATAGTTTTAGAGAAAATCGACGAAAAAACTGCGCTTGGCTCATTTTTCTCTTCGCGCTGAAAATTATGCCTATTTTCTAAGGTCATTTACGAGCGTTGGGTGGGAGATACGCAAACACGATAGAGTACATTTTTATAGAGAATTTAATGGAGAATATAAAAAGTCCTTCAATATTTTATCGTACAAGCTGTGGTTTACGAGCAAATCGCCGAAAAAGACCGTGAGGTCACGATTGGGGGTGGTTTTTTGGGCAAAAGGGGATGAAGCTCCCACCGGAGACGTGGGAATTCTTCGGATCTGTATTTAGGTTCCTACTGAGATTTCATAACCAAAATTTCAAAACTTTATAAATTTTTTCTTCTAAAAAATCTAATTTTCCTACACTATTAGGAGTGCTTAGTAATTTATTATTTTATTTTGGTTTTTAGAATTTATGCATCACTTTAAAATGACGGTGTACTCGAGGGTGCAATGAAAATTCCATTAACGTCCATCATCACCTCTACATTATCCAATTTTGGCACTTCCTTAACTAGTTTATCCACTTGCCAACCCCTAATGTCATTCTGTACATCCCTAGTACTGTCAGTTTTCTCCCTGAAAATTCTCGCTCTTTTTGCTTGTGAATCTGAATCACATTGTCTCTATCTTCTTTTTGTTTTTTGCGGTATTGATTTTTATTGGTCGCCCTGTAATTAAGTTCTTCCCTATTCCTGTTGTATACTATCCTGATCATTTCTCCCATACCTGTTATATTATATTCCCATTAGCGTATTCTCCAAATTTCCGATTACACCGATATTGGTTCGCTTCTCTCGTCCTAGCGTAATCAAATCCATGCTCACTTGCTTTAGAAACGTAATTACCTTTCCTTACCTCATCGACTATACTTATCGTACGTTTTAAAAATTCTCAGTAAACTGTCGTATGTCGTAATATCCTCTTTAATTGCTTTCAACCCTATTTCCTCTTCAAAACTGTGTGTTTTTCCGCGCACTTTTTGTTTAAGCTTCCAAAATTCATTCAATTAATTTTAGCTACCCCATCCCATATTTAATCTTCCCTATCTCTTCTCTTGCATAACATTACTTTGCATATAAACGATATCAATTGCGTTAATCCATCCAGATCTTCCCAGCGATACCTTTCAGCCTCTCTCTCTCTCTCTCTATACATTCGACGTCTCACGTTGCCATATTTGCCCCGCATCCAGTAATATTCGATTGACTTCCGCTTTAAAACTAACCCGTTTTTCTCTTAAGCTCTTCATATCATTTTTTACGATTTCATTACCATATTTATTCCCTCTAACTTCTGATTATTTTCGACCCTTATATCATCAAATTTAGGATTTTTCACATTTAACTTTTGGGCTAAAACTCACGGTCATTTCTTTGTTAATATCCACAAGTGTAACGAAGCCTCCTGTCAAAACAATCCCTCCACCCCCACCCCCCTTCCTTGCAACTCTTGAACCTGTGAATATATGTCTGTTTGTACTAATTTGTACTAGAGTCAAAAGGCAGTATCAATTTTGGTTTAGTATATTCATATTTCGAGTTTGATGTCAAATAAAGCGCGCCCCTCGTATCGTTGCACCCCCACAACGAAGGGGTTATTTCCGCTAGCTTTCCGTATATAGTTTGGCGTAGTTTAAGACTTGGACTCTAACCTCACAGGTTATGAGTTCGAATCCCACAACTTGCCGGTTTTTAGTGGTACAGAACATCTCCCGACTGTCATGCTTCGATGTAAAGCTGGCGGTCCCGGCAGTCATAACTGTCGTCAAGTCACACACAGGCTGTTGATGCGACCTGAAAACGTCTCTACCTAGGAACTGCCACCCATTCCATACGATACGATGCGATACGAATTAAACGTTAGACAAACGACGGACATTACAACTTGCGTACGAAAAGAAGCACAGAACCCCGCAATTTGGGTTTTGATGAATGTTGACGTTGGGTGAAGCTATAAAAGGTAATGCTTTATTTTTAAACACTCCACTTCGCCAAGATCAAGTAAACAATTATTCGTGAAGAGGCGTTGGATTTTTGTACCTAAATAGAATAACTGAAGCTAATAGTGTAAAAATGTAGCGTAGGTTTTAAAATAACAAAACCCTTTGTAATTTCGTTGACAGTCTAAGTTAATTTCGCAACAATCAAGCGCCTTAAAGTTTATTAAAATATAATTGTGGCCGTAAACTGTTTTTCATACTAATTTTATTTTCGAATCTGCAAATTTCTTTACATAAATAAAGATTTAGATGTAACCGGCTCTACGCACGCGACTAAACTAGGATGTTACAAAAACCCGGATAATAAATTACGCTTAAGACAAAAAAAGTTTAATCATAAATATTATTAAAATGGTAGAAAGTTAGACATCCTTTTTAAAAGTGCTACTACCGCGTGAATTATCTTAGAGTAATATTAATTTTTAATTAAAGCGGTAAAAAAGGTTACGGAAATAACCCACCCGAGTTGTCTTAATGTACAATGCGATGAATTTTAATGTTCACCACATTATTTCCCAAAGTAAATTACTTTTACAGCCGCTTACTGGTAATACGAGAAAAACGTATGTAAGATTTACGTACATTTACATAATTTCGTTATTGTTCCAGGTTGCTTGGTTGCGTGTCGACACTCAGACAATTTTAACTATTCATAGTCACGTTATTACCAAGAATCACAGGATAGGAGTTACACATAGCGAGCACAGAGTGTGGTACCTGCACATTAGAGACGTACGGGAATCGGATCGTGGATGGTACATGTGTCAAATTAATACGGATCCTATGAAAAGTCAAGTGGGATACCTGGATGTGGTGGGTAAGTGCATTTAACAACAATAAATGTACGGGCTAATTACTTACGCACATCGTTAAAAGTGCAAAAGGTGTAAGAGGGTTTAACAATGGATGCTTTTTTCTTTATATAAATAAGATTTGAATGCGACAAAATGCTAAACGCTCAATACATAATTATTACCTATTGATATGCATTAGCTATATTCAGTACACTTTGTTCATTCTTACATCCGTCTATTCCTTAAACCACTGTTTCCTGCTGGAACTTTGGCACTACACAAGATTCCCTGTAGCACAAAGTATTTCTGCTCTCTCTGACCCTTTATCACACTTGGGATACTTTTAAATGTAAATGTTTGTAAAAGGTACTTTTCCGTACAATTGTAGTATAAAATAAGTATAGAATTATTTAGTTTTATTAAAATAGTGCTTAGATTAAAGTCGGCATTGACCACATCATGCTTTGCTATTATTTTTAAATTGGTTCTAAAAACTGCTCAAGGTATGTATAGTTTTTTGCAACTTGGCGTAGATGGGTCTTCATCCGTTCAATTTTGAAGCTGTTAGATAAACAATTGACAATTTTAATTACTCCTGCATTAGCCCCGCTAGGTATTTCAAATCTGTTAAGCCACCTCATGCAGTTATCCAAGTTCTTCTGTTACTGTTAATTTCAAATATTATCATTGGTTATTGATATTAATCGTTACTGTATGCACTAACCCTGCCGTTTGTATCGCTGCTCTTTACAGCCCTCTTCAGTTTCTCAGTACGAAAAACATGAATACGTATATAACAAAATTTTAATTTATTATGTGTAAATCTGGGCGATTATTTACAAATTAGCACATAGTTGATTTATTGTACGGGTGGGGCAGAGGAACTTGCTGATTTGTATTCGGCGCCCTTAGGCGACGGTTGCTCCGACGAAAATGGGAATAGGTATATTTGAGAGAAGCGCATATAAAGTTTTTCCGCCGCGTGGTGTAGTCATCATCATGGAGTGGACGAAGGCGGAACGCGCGTTCGCCGTCTAGATATACTTTTCTAACGGTCGCTCAGTCATAGCCACGCAACGTGCATCCCGTACAATAAATCAACTATGTGCTTATTAGTAAATAATCGCCCAGATTTACACATAATAAATTAAAATTTTGTATTTGAATTTATTTATAATTGTTTGTAATTGCGTAAAATTTTTTTGATTAGATTTTTATGTGCGCGTATTCTTGGCGTAAGTGGGGACGTGTTTCTTCGAAGCGAAATGGCGGTGTTTTTAAAAATCCTGAAGAAGGAGGTTATTTCACAGTGGAAGTGGTATTCCTTTAAATACTGGAATCAGCGTAAAAACGAGGGAGCTGCGGCTGTTACTTTTCGCCACGGTAAAAAAAGCGTGTTCATCTGTTTACACTAAATTACGGGTGGTAGACTCGATTTTGTTGAGAACGCAGTTCGTCAATTTTTTTAAATAAATCTGTAAGTTAACCAAGGTTGTATAATAAGTTTAATGCTTGTTGCCCGTTTACGGAAAAAGCTTTGTTCAGTTGACCAAAGAAATGTTAAGGTTTGCTTTTTATTAAAACTTAAAAGTTTCTACCATCCGAGCAGTCACCGAAAATTGAATATCGCAAACCTGTCTCCACTTGGCTATGTTTGTCTTGGACCAAGGCATCACAGGGACAGACCACAGGCTCGGTAGTTTCATCCGCCTTCCCACAGAACCTCCAGAAGCTCCACTCAGCCTAAAATCTGAGACTATCATTTTGAAGTTGCTGGTTATGCCTGCCTTATGTCATGATTTAATTCTGGGCATAGATATTTGGAATCGTATGGGCATTATTCCCGATAATGTTTGACATTTCTCTTCCGAAATACCTGTAGTCCGTTTGTCGGGCATTTTTGAGGGACCGCTCTAAACACAATGAAAGACGACAACCTTGGAATAATTTGCTGGACGACAAGTTCATAGTCATAGGGAATTCACTTGGTCCAACCAAACAAAAAGTCCTTAATGAGGAAGTCGAAAAAATGTTCGAACATGGGAATATTGAACTTCCAAAAAGTGGATGGGCTTCGGCGGTCAGCCCGATCAAAAAAAAAGATTCCTATCGATTTTGCGTCGATTACAGGAAACTGATCTCTATTACACTCGAAGACGCCTATCCTTTGCCATACACGCCCTCAATCGTAGAACAACTGCGTAACGCTCGTTACTTAAGTTAGACTCACACTTTACTCATACTGAACGTGTACTTGTCAATATTTTGGTATTCAAAGAAATATTTGCGAAAGTGACGCATGACATTAGTGCTATAGTACCGCGCGAAATACGGACAGTTAAGTAGGAATACTAGCAGTAAATATAAGTTCCACTTAAACTAAACTAAGTGTGCAATTAGTTAAGTGTAAGTCTAACTAGAAGTCTAACTTAAGTAATATCTATGAATTCCACCCTAAGTCTGCCTACTGCCAAGTTGGAATGGCCCAGTCTTCTTACAGTATACAGTACCCGAGCCCGACCTATATCAATTTTGTCGAATGCCTTACTAACTACTTTTGGATCTTTGTGCAAATACGTTAAGTTTGTTCTTAATTCCCGAGAACATGAGAATTTCAAGATTCTTGTCCCTAAAGATTTTAGCAAGTCCGGTCTTACCAAATGTCACAATAATGATATTTCAGGTCACCTAGGGGGTATATAAAACTTTTTGGAGAATACGTGAACGTTATTATTGGCCTAAACTTATAGCTGATCTTAAACATTTCCTTTCGTGTTGTACCATATGTGCCCAACACAATCCGAATGCCATGCGTGACTGCTCTGCGAAATTAGCATCCCGTTATTTAGGACTTTTCAAAGGGCAAAAGGTCAAGTATTTATATTGAGAATTACAAGGTGCCGAGGTGAAGATTTCAGGTACATGGCATGTCCATTGTCCAAGATTTACTCTGGGTAACTGTAGTATCTAAACCTCCGATATTTTATAAGCGTCACCACCTATACGTAAGTAAATTCATTATTTAGAGCTATGTGGTGGCAAAGTTTTTTGGTTTTTGAAGTAACATTTAAACTAACAACTCATTCTTTCTTTAATTTTTCCAAAATCTAAAAAAATTTGAATCAAGGTTGCATCAATTCTATTCCACAGACCTTTGGGAATCGATGTATTTCTGTTTGATTTGAAAGTTTATTGGGTTGGTGTAAGTTTGCTGGTTTGGTTTTTATGGAACTTCTATTACATCTGATATTTTTAGCAATGTACATATGAGAGAAGTAATATTTATTTCTGATATTTTCCATAGATTTGGAATCTCTACGATCTTCCATTAAATTCTTCTCCATAAAATGATAAAATGATGCTATCGTTTACACTTCGAGCTAGAACTTTTACAAACCGAAATACTCATTTTTACTGTAATTGTGGGCTTCCACAACGTTGAATATAAATCAAATGCAGATAAACAAATATAGTGTATGTAGGTACCTAACTGTAGCGGTTGAAATGTTTATGACATTATGGTATTTCTATTACCCATAAAATTGCATATTTAAACGATGTATCACAAACAACCGTTCACGCTCATAACAATGAAGAACAAATTCGATTGTATCAGTGCAATGATGTAAAGCAACAGTTAAATTGATTACAAAAATAATAAGCTTTCCGCTTTCCGCTGTGAAAAAGGAGATACGCTTAGATACTCTCCTCCATAACATAAACGCTACGCTTTAATTTATCAAACGGTCCATTAATATTCTCCAAGATGAAAGCTATTGATTTTAACGTGTTCCTGTCACTTTTATGTATAAGAGTTAAACCGCATTAATAAATCATCAACAAATTTACCTGATAATAATACATCATCTTCTGTAGCATCCGTTCATACACTTCATTACGTATTATACATACTTCAGCCAGTTCAATAAATCTATATCACTTTTCTGTTGTATCCTTTCAGTTCCTCCGGATATTTTGGATTATCCTACAAGTACCGATATGGTTGTGCGGGAAGGCTCAAACGTGAGCTTTAAATGTGCCGCCACCGGATCACCTGAACCTGCAATAACGTGGAGAAGGGAGGCTGGGGAAGCTATCGCTTTAGGAAATGGGCACGAAGGTAAATCATCACCAACGTTTTATTTAAGATCGAAAATCCGAGTTTTTAATATACACTTTACGAATACTGTATGTAGGGAAATTGGACAATTAAAACCATTTAGTATAAAAAATTGACATTTTACGAATTACGATTAAAGGGTAGTAAACAGCAATTAAATTAGATAAACGGCCTGACTTTTAAATTTTCCCTTGCGTGCAATAAGTGGCAGCGACATTATTTTTTTTTATTTCTGACGAAACCCACGGGATTTAAAGTTCCCTAAACGTGCCATTTAGCGATTTTGTAAATGTTCGGTTTGATAGAAATGTATTTCCATTCGTTTATTTGTTTGGGCGGGAATTATTTTGAACTATTTGGAATTACAGTTCATAAGGGCCACAATATCTTTGCCGTGCAAGTGGCGTGAGATTATCTAGTTATAACGACGTTGAAAATCAAGATAATCTAATAAAGAACGCCGTGTTTGCTACTTGCAAACAACCCTAGTGTTACGTTGGTGGCAGAATCAATTTTATACTTCAACTGTACGTAAACGTTTTTTCTACTGGTATCAGTATCATATTAGTGTAAAACATACAATACGTAAAATTTTGCATTGAACAAGTTACATATAAAATATTTGTTCCGGTCGTATGGATTGTCCAGAAAATAAAACAATGTACCGATACAGCAAATACAAGCTTCACAAAAAATGTTTACTTTTCGATTCCTGTTAATTTACTGTTTATTATCCACTGCCGGTGCTGATGCAAACCAGATTATATTATATCGATTTGGTAGCTAATTGAACTTATCCCAGTTATGATACGTCACAATGCATACCACCTAATTTATGTTAATGTTATGACAACGTGTAAATAAATACATAAACATGTACCTATCAAAATGATAAAAACGATACCGTGCCGCTTTAGCCCTACTTGACATATAAAAATAGTGTAAGTTAAGAAGTTTTCACTAAAATGTTTATGTAAAACAAAAATGAAGAGAGACGAATTTAAGACGACATTATTTGTAAAAATCTACGACTAGATTTAGACCCGAATTTAAACCCTTTGGAGAAATTAGTGTAGGATAAATTTACCTTTAGTTCCATGTGTATCATACACATACGAGTAGATATAGAATTGCTTCCCAGAGAGTTAATTTTTGATGATTGTATGTTACGTCATGGTGATCTGGACCGGCAAAGTCTAAATAAAATCATGCCGCGCAAAATTAGCCTTCAAGAAATTTCCTTGTTGTTACAGTGCTCCAGATGATAAAGCCCCTTGAAATCATCGCTGCCAATGAATGCGATAGGGTTAAAATATCGGTTACCCTATAATATCCTCATCCCTCATGGTATGAGGGGTTAATTTGATCAGTGTTACTAGTTTACGTAATAAAAAGATATCTCTCAGAGATCAACAATATAATTTAAATAAAATCGAATTTAAACGCATATAGGAGGCTTTCCAGTTCTAAAAATATTCATAATCTCTTTCACTCAGTGTTTGTGTATCTCCCTAACTCTCGTACTTATAGTTCCACACTTAGTACCACAGATTAAAATCTGTGCTAGTACGGATAACTAACATACACATATAAACCTAACAATATTAACAGTATTACCCATATTTTTAATTCTATTGCATTTAGCTAAGGCATTAACTAACCCAACCCACTATACGGTTACATAAAGCCATATCCGAATTTGCCTTCGAACCAGGGACCTCCAGTGCCGTAGTCGTGCATCTATGCCAAGTGATCCGATTATTACCAAAATATGAAATATTCAGGACAGTATCACTAACTTCTTTGTTTCATCTTCAAAACTTAATTTCGTTATATTCGCCAATACCCCTCATATATTTTAAAACCTTCGTAATGTTTGCTCACTTTCCTTTACATTGAAATTTTGTTTCGCTGCTATTCTTTTTATAATTGTTGTGTAAACTAAGTCACGCACGCGTTATTCTTTAAATTATTATTACTATTGCACTAGGGGTGGTCCCAGTCGGTTCCTGCACTGCGACCTTTTGTTCCTCCCCGGTACTGTCTACCCTTCAAGAATACCTGCATCTTTAACAAAGTCCAGAATTTTGATAGGGCAAACCCTCGGTACTTTCCCTTGATTATTTTTTTCATTTCTAAGTAAGTGTTCCCATGCCTTTTGTGTGTGCTTCACATTGGCAAAATATGTCGTGATGTGGTGTTTCTTCTTCCTCGCCACAGCTTCTGCATGACGCGCTATCTTTGTTATTATTATACCTACAGATTAGGTTAAATGGGGTAAAGTTGTGTAGTTTTTGATGTTGATGAGTATTCCGATGCGATATTTTGAAAAAAATAAATCGTTTCGTACATATTTGGAAACAACTGAAAATCGCCATTTTTACAAAGTTCAAATATTTCAGTAACAAAGAGAGAGCTATCGAAAAAGGTTTCAAATAAAAGTTGCAAAATTCGATGGTATAAATTCAATAGATGTAGACATTTTTTTTCAAAATGGCGGTTTTGAGATACTCCCACTTGACAAGCAATGTTAAAAAAACGTTTGGTACGTTAAACGAATGTTGCATTTTGAAACAGCTCAATTAAACAAAACATCAACGTTATACCAACGATACTTGAATGGCTTTTCTTTCTAAACCGTGGTTACGACGTTTTTGTAATGTTAAAAATTGTAACCTTTCGGACTTGCGTCGCTGGAACGGGACATTATTACGCTAAAATAACATTCAGAAGGCTAACGTTATACCAATATTACTTTGACAACGTTTTTATGCAAAACCTTGTTGCGATGTCATAATAATGTTAAGTAATGTGATGTTATTAGCGTATGTTGACCGAACCATACATAACTACGTTAGTTCAACTTTTAAAAGCTTAACATTACAACAACGACATTTTGGTACTGTTAAGTTGCATAGTTACAGTAATGTTCTTGTAATATTAAAAATGTGCCTTTGGGCATTGCGCAACGAAAAAATAGCTGGTCGGTGACTCTTCACTCGGTTTATCTTCATTTGCAGTTTAACATGTTTGTTGAATGTTGGTTTTCTGTGAATTGAGTGATGTGATTCAGAATAAGTGGAGGATAGTTTGAATTAAGTGCTTAAAAATTGTGGAGTTTTTTGGGTTAGACATTGGCGATTGTGGTTTTTTTTTATGAAGGATGAACGACAACGACTTCAACAAATAAGCTGAATAAGCTATCCATTTATGGCGATTTTTACGTGTTGAATTTCTCTTTATATTTTCCACCTTGTACCCTCATCTTTTTATTTTAAATCAAACAGTTCTACCAGGGTTCCTCCTAGGCGTTAGCAGTATGTAAAAGTAAGTAAAAGACGTAAATTATTTTATGGATGTATAACCTTACTTTTTTAGAATCTTCCACAATGTCTTTGTCACCAAAACATGACGCGTTCGGAACATTATCGAAGTGCAAGTCTACAGGATGGAACATGGACGTATTCCATTCAGTCCTGTCGCCAGCAATTCTGTCAAGAATTTCCTGATATCCAACGTTTTTCTATAAGGTATTTTCCATTTACAAATACTCCATGATGCCGAACAACAGTTTTACGATGTTCGATTAATTAACAGAGGATTGTGGTCACCACGTTCTCCAGATCTAAGCCCGTTAGATTTTTTTTTCTGATTTTGAAATACAATATTTTTCGAAATCGTCTGCAAATAACTGAGGAACTTCAAAATGCAATCGAAGAGGAACCAATGAACATTACACCAGTAATGTTAGAATGAGTTTTCGATGATATGAAAATATGTGTGTAACTGTGCATTCTTTATAATGGTGGGACATTTTTAACAATTTTGTGAAGTGATTGATGTGAATGAAATAATTTTTTATACATTAAATTTCTGGTAAAAAATTATTTGAATTATTTTGAATTGTACATTGTGCACTTTAGTATCAAAGTGCAAAAATGTTTATTAAAGTACACAATCTGTGACAATACTAAATTACGTTTATGTCATCCTTGTACACTGACGGCCGGTATTATAAAGCCAGACTTAACTTTGTTGTCAGCTAACGGTGTTGTTAAGACATTCCTTAACATAACAACACTGTTAGCTTACAACATAGTAAATATGACTTTAATAATACCAACCGTCAATGTATAAGGATGATATAATAGTACATTATATATCAAGGTAGAGAAGTCCACTATTATTGCCTGAGCACCAAGATTACATCTCGAGGCGCTTGCGCCGAGGGGTGTAAGGTGCGAAGGCAATAATCGACTTCTCTACCGTGGTATATATACTATTTTTTTCACTACTAGCACTTGAAATCCTCTAAATTAACATATTATATTGATAGAGAGTTAACGGTTGGACAGAATTGTTTGTTTCTTAATTTAACATGTCAATCAAGTACGTGGAAGTACAAGTCAAACAGGCCGTATTTTGTTCTGTCATTGAGATTTTTCAAAGAGTAATTTCGTTCGATTTTTTTCAAAATGTGATAATTTTAGGTATGTAATTTCTCTGGAAATTGCGAATGGTGGCAATTATTCGTTTTAGAGAACTTGTCTAAACGTTCATTGAGCGAAATTTCGGGTTGTGTTTTCTAAAAGTGACAGCGTGACAGTTCTCATTATTGACTACTAGTTAATAATAAAAAATTATTAACCACTTTGAACAAATGCCGAGAAAGCCTACTTTACAAGTGGAAAAAAGGTTAATAATCATGTCATCAGACGCTAGTAGTGAAAAAACGTAATTTAGTATTGTTTAATAAACATTTTTGTACCACGTTTATACAACGTGTACCACGTTTATACAACGTAAGAGAGTTACATCGCATTGGCGTTTGTTTCAAACGTTCAATTAACGTTAAATGCTGATGTTATAAAGTGTTATATGATGTAACGTTTGCTAAACGTAGGTATTTAGAGGTTACAGAGAAACGTTCTTGAAGGCGGACATTAGCAGTCGCGGTGACGTTAATAGTAAGTTAATGGTACTTATACGCTAACGTTACA